TTTTCTTACTATTTTATTTTATATATTTTTGAATCAAAAGACTTTTCTAATTTTTTAAATCAAACTTATTAAAAAAATTTCTCACTCCTAATTTCCCCGTTCCAAGCATAAAGTAAGCAAGAGAAGTTGACTAATGAGCCCAGGCAAGCAAAGATCTGAGAAAATGAATCTAAATGGAAAGATTGATGCAATTTTAATTGTTAACTTCGAGTTTAAATAATACCTAACCACCTCTTTTGTCGGGACTATTCCTTTCTGGCCGCGAGTAGAAACCAGAAAACTGGTGCGTCAGCAATGTGTAGAGCCAGGAAGAAGAGTGAAGAAGGGCTACGTGGAAAGTAACTACAGGGAAAATCAAAGCTCAGAATCTTATAAATCCGAGCTAGGCCGGGCTTCATGATGCCCTCATGCCATTCCTGGACGAATTGTCCTGACAACTACCTCAAGAGTGACGAACATGGTTATTGATTCTTGTTTTTTTTAAGTTTCAATTATCTGTTTCCCTTCTCCCTTCCCCTCTGTTAATCTTGCTTAGTGCTTATTACGCTTTTTACAGATGGTAATTGAGTAATCATAATTTTGTGGTCCATAATTAAACAGGCTAGAGGGAAGAGGAAGCACTTAAAGAGGCTCAAAGCTCCCAAACATTGGATGCTTGACAAGCTTGGAGGCGCTTTTGTACGCAAAAGGCTTTCGTCTTTTTTTTATGTGCAGTGCAGTCTTCTTCAGACTTAATGAGAAACTTAATACGACTCGTCTTCTTTATATGCAGGCTCCAAGCCATCTCCTGGACCTCACAAGCTAAGGGAGTGCCTCCCCCTCATCCTTATCCTCCGAAACAAGCTTAAATATGCACTCACATATCGCGAAGTCATTTTAATTCTCATGCAGCGACATGTTCTTGTTGATGGAAAAGTCAGAACTGATCAGAAGTACCCTGCAGGCTTTATGGGTATATTTTCCTTTCCTCCAAATTATACGCATATATATATATATATATATAAGAGTTGCATCATCAATATATAAATTCATATTGTGCGGGCGCGTAATTTTTCAGACGTTGTATCCATTCCAAAAACGAACGAGAACTTCAGACTCCTCTATGATGTCAAGGGTCGTTTTCGCTTGCGATCAATAACAGAGGACGAGGCAAAGGTTTGCTTCTTTAACTTACCGCTATTTGTGAATATAAGTCACTTTATGATACATGTTAATACTGTCAGTTCCTTCATATAGTTCAAGCTCTGTAAGGTGAGATCGGTGCAGTTTGGGAAAAGGGGTATTCCCTATCTGAACACATACGATGGACGAACCATCAGATATCCTGACCCGCTTATCAAAGCTAACGACACCATAAAAACTTGACCGAGACTCCTACAAGATCACTGACTTCATAAAGTTTGAAGTTGGAAATGTTGCGATGGTGACGGGTGGGAGGAACAGAGGACGAGTTGGGGTTATAAAGAGGAGGAAAAACATATGGGCACCTTTGACACCATCCATGTCCAAGATGCTGTTGGGAACGAATTCGCTACTCGTTTGGAAAACGTTTTCATTATTGGTCAGGGCTCAAGACCATGGGTCTCTTTACCCAAAGGAAAGGGAATCAAGTTGAGTATCATTGAAGAAGCTAGGCTCAGGCGTGAGGCAGAAAGGGCTTCCTCAGCATGATATCTATAATCATCATTAATGATTATTTCCACGTACTTGTATACTATCTTGTGTGTGTTCATGCAATGACTCGCTAGTTTGTATTTCGCATCATCGATCATCTCATAATAGAATACTATGTATCTTGTTCTTATCATAGGTTCTATGATCTACTGGTTCTATATGAAGAAGCTCACCAGGATCCATGGTAAGCTTAATGTAACCAATTCCAACAGGGAGTAGAAGTATGCATGGAGAAAAGAGACATGTCTTCATTAAAAGGGAAAGGCATCGGAGGAGAAGTAGGCCAGGTTTATAAGTGTAGATATGTGTTATGCAGCTGCCACAGCTTCTTTGAGCAGCATCTGATCAAAGTGCCAGACACCTGCAAGCCCACCAACCAATTACCGTAATTTATGAAGCAAGAAGTGTGTGTACAAATTAATTAGTGTGGTTAATGACTCAAGCAATTACCATGTCCTTTGCCCACCCTTCTTAACTGAGCCACATATTCTGAGATCTTCTTGATGGACTCAACCTGAAGCCGAACGAAAATAAGGAAGATAACAATCGTCTTTTGATAAAATGATCTTTCCGATGTCATGACAACAAGAATCACAGGATGTTGCTTTACCTGATCGGCAAGAAACTCGCTTTCAATAAAATCAGTGAGCTGCGCATCATTGTTCTCATTTGCCAACTGCGTTAGTGATATAAAGTCCATTTTGAGCTGCACCGTCTTATTGGGTGGAAAATTAACAGTAATCTAAAAATCTATATAATAAGTTTAATTTGGGCTGGGAAATTTGCCTGGTGTAGATCAAGAAGCTTCCCATTGTTCAACTTTTTCAAAGACAATGCAAGTTCCATTGCTGCAGGACGACAGGGCATCCAGTATCAGCATTTAACAAGTCAAAAACCACGACTCCGAACGCGCATGGTTCCAGAAATTCAGGAACAACCGAAAGCAACAAATACACTAAACTAAACTATCACATATAACTCTCATAGGCGATGCTCGCATCGAGAACTTCTCTGATAAGAACAAAATACAACCAACTAGTTGTTGGTTAAACACAAATTCAAAGGGAGGGTGTTAATCTTAACGCTCTCAGGAAATTAGCCTCAAGTCTAATACTCTGAGTTATATTAAAAAAGAAGAAAAAAGTACAAAGCACAGCACAACAAGATTTCAGAAGTTGAACGTTTAGATGGCCGGAACCGGAATGAATTATTATGCCATAGAAGTTGAAGCACCCTCCAGAAGCTCCAGACAAATAATTCGTATTTAGATGGAAAAAAAAAATATTGATGAATTTGGCAAAATAAAAATTATTCACCAGCATCTCGTGAGTTGCTTTAAATGTCAGAGTTAATCTCCAGAGTCAGAATAAAAGGCATTGCCCCACATCTTACCATTTAATGCATCGCCCTTTTCAATATGATCATATTCTGACAAAGGCATCAGCAGTGACTGCAGCTTAACTCTACCTCCTCTTATATTCTGGTAATTATCAGAAAGTAAATTTAATAATATGAACTTAAGATTAAACGGAAAAGAAATAATAGTGAGTTAGGAAAATTAATGCATTGCAAAGCAACAAACACCTGGTATTCCATCAATTTCTCAGCATGCTGTCTCTCTTCCACACTTGAATCCTTGAAAAATCTACAAACGTTGCGTGTAATATACTAATTTATCAGTAATCAACTTACAACCAAATTCGACGAAGGAACTTAGGATTCATACTTGGCTAGTCCCTTGAGAGCGATATTATCTCGGTCAAAGTAGGCATGCACGGCATGATACACGTAGGAGATACTGTATTCCACACTGATTCGAAGGAAAGAAAAGCTGCAATGAGATACTTGCAGAACTAAGAACATTGTATCCACCTCGAGTAGACACAAAGTGAAAACAGCATGTTGCAGTTTAAACCTGAAGAGGCAAGTAAATGGTCGAGAACCATCTTTTACAATCATTACTAAAATTGTCAGCATGATAAGGACTATCAGAGCTCTCTCTGATCATCTTAACTAGATAATAATGGTTAAGAAAAGCAGGATGCTGTGCCTGTTTGCAGGTACTTATTACTTACCAAATTACCGATTATTCCTATGAGGATAGCCAACTTAGCCTCAACACTAAGAACCGAAAGGACGAATGAATGACTCAGAAAGTCGGAGGGCGATTGAACAGAGACTCCGTGAAGAGAGAATAAATGTAACACAGTAAAAACAAACGATGAAAATCAGATAGCAGTGCATGACGGTTAAAATGAAGGATAGCAGCACGCAACTAAATACAGACAAAATTTAACATAATAAGAATGTGAAGCTCACTTGATCTGTTCATTGAGGGCGTCCTCACACTGCTCATTGTACTGCTGACGAGCCAGTGATGCCTGAGGCTCAGCGGGAATGACATGGAGCTTCGTTTTCACTTCCTCGAGGGGTTCGAAAATTACATTCGGAATGGATCGAGTATCATCCTCCTTAGAGGCCTGTATAGCAAACCTACTGCCCACATCTCTACAGGAGAATCTGCTCCTGCATGCACTGTTCGGGGTCTTCACAGCATCGTGAATGGGACCACGATGTGAGAGAGAAGACAGAAGCTGTGCTCTCTGTGAAAGCGAGAATGAGAAGGAAGTATTGGCTATAAGCATTTTGACAGAGAGAAAGCAGAGGAGAGAGCAAAGGATGCAACAAAAAATTACAGTAAGAAGAGAACGAAGATGGCAACGCGAGAAAAAGGGAGGTGAAGATTCTCTGGCGGTTTTGGGGGACTTATAACCGTTCAGGGGGAAGTACGTGGACGGTGAGGACCGGTCATTAAGTAGCTGCGTGGTTGGCTTGGCGCGGGGCAGTGGTGCTGACTGCTGAGTATGCAGTTTATTAAACGTAACAGAATACGGGCTTCTTTTGCACTCATCCATGCACTAAACGCTCGGAGGGCTTTCCCCCAAAAACAAAAAACACTGGGTAGGGATTGTTAAATAATAACAATAACAAAAACTATTAATATTATTTTTAGTTAATAAACTTTAATTTAATTTTGATATTTTTTTTTGCATGACTTAATTTTGATTTTGATTTCTAAAATTTAAATCAATAACTTTAGTTCTAAATTCAATTTTATTTTTGGTCTTGAAGTTTGTTTTACTTATCAAAATTATGTGTTTCAAATTTTAGGAGACAAGATTAAAAGTGGCTATCCTCAGGGGCTTTTGGTGAAATCTTAAAACGACTTTGGCTATAAATCGTTTTGAATTATAGGGACTCGTGTGGCTCTAATGCAAGCCAGCAGCTGCAATCGAGAAAAATTCTTCCACGTGCACAAACCTAGGTGATTCGTTGTCTGAATCTTGTTCGCATGCAAAAATGGCGCTGTAGATTTTACCCTGAGCCGCTGATCCTAGCGGCTTGGAGTGTGACCGAAGGAACTCCATAGCCTCCATCCTCCTCGCAGCTCTCCAATTCAGCTCCTTCAACCATGGGGTCTTGGAAGATGACCTCATCCCTTATCTTCTGCCTTTCCATCTTTGCTTTGTTCCCTCCCTCCTTGCCTTCCCAAGTCTTGCGCTCCTCCCATTCTCACAAGGTTTCTGTGGGTTTATACTATGAAAGCTTGTGCCCTTACAGTGCTAATTTCATCGTCAATTACCTGGTCAAGCTCTTCGATGACGACCTTATCTCCATCGTCGATCTCAAGCTCGTTCCATGGGGTAATGCCAAGCTCAGGGGAAACAACACCTTTGATTGTCAGGTACTTCAAATGAACACTCTCTCCCTCAATTTGCTATGAGCTCTTCTTTTGTAGGCTTTCCCCTTCCTTTTCCTTTTTTTTCCCCATCGGTGGGAGTGGGGGGGGTTCCTTTTTAGTTTTAAAGCTGGAACTATCTATATATTCCTCTTAAATTGAACTTTTCGTTTATGTGTTTATGTGTTCCATTTGCCTGAATTAACATGCGGCTGTTTTTTTCCCATGACGATTGCAGCATGGCCCATATGAGTGCTTACTGAACACCGTGGAAGCGTGCGCAATTGATATATGGCCTGACCTGGTAAGACTTCCGCTTTGATAGTGAGAGAGACTGAGAAATCAATGGGTAGACTGGTCCATAAACGGAGAGCGGTACTTTTTCTTGTTTTATCCTTTTTTGTTCTGAGTGTTGGTATTTCTTTAAATGGAATGTAGCGTTGAAAGGATCTGTAATTTACTTGGGCGAGTTGAAAAGGGAAAGATATTAATGGGGTTATAGACGACAGAAAATAGAACATTTACTGGGGAGATGGATTCTTCGATGATATGCTAGAATTCCTCTCGAGTGCTAATGTCACGAATCATTCTTAGTTTGATCTTATTGTTGATTTAATATGAAAATAACTCATATTACTTTTGTATCACACTCTTAACTACCTAATTATATTCGTGTTTATGGCAGGATGAACATTTTCCTTTCATATATTGTGTTGAGGCTTTAGTGTATGACTTAAAGTACCGAGAATGGGAATCATGTTTTCAGAAATTGGATCTGGATCCAAAACCTATTGATAAATGCTATACCAGCAAATATGGAAAGGAGGTTTGTGATTTTCTCTGATTCTTGATAAAATTTAATGTTTTATCATTGCTATGTGTTTATGCTGGTCAAATATCCTTGCAATGTGTCGAGGCTTTGTGTTAAATATCACTAGTAATTTGTAATTCGTGCTAATTTGCATCTTTCTTTGCTATGAAATTGCTGGCCTAAGAGGATTGCTGCCCAGATTGTAATATTTTCCTAGTAACCATTGAGTAGAACTGCGTAGCCCTCATACTTAGTAAAACTGCTATCCCTACTAAACACTATCTCTGGTCCTAATTATAAGAGTTAGTTAACTAATTTGAAGAGAGTAAGAAAATAAGTTAAGTTAGTTATTTGTAATACATATGTATTGTCTTTCCTAAAATATCTTTGCTAATCAAGTTTATTGGCTAGAACTACTTTTATTAGAGGGCTATCTTGAGAAAGAATGCATAAATATGAGAAACAAGGTGGATTGGAGTCTTATAATTAGGACTAAAGTAAAAGTCAAACAAAGTCTTATATTAAGAACCGGAGGTAGTAATAAATAAGACTTTCTATTGTTCAAACTATTTTGTCAGTGAGATCAACACGACTCTTCGATGTTATCTGATTCTCTCTAATAACATTTACGTTCATATATTTAAAAATCTTGAAAGTTTACAAATCCTGCTAAATGAAAGACAATTTGTGGCAACTTGAGAAATAGAAATGCTAAACTATCAAGAATGTGGCTTATGCCCCCTCCGTAATCTGTTCATCACAATGAAAATTTTTCGTAGCAGTAATCAGTTCCTAGTTTAAAATGGAAATTTGGAAGAGAAGCAGTGTCAATAGAGTTTGAAACCTTGGTCTAAAATTGGGATAGTAAATCTGATGCTTAAACCATGGATATATCTGGTAATGGTTTTTCTCTAACAGTCTGATGTGCTCATGAACTGCTTGTTTCTTTCTTGAAGTGTATATATGGAATAACCAACGAAGAGTACTTTTACCTGAGCTTAACCATCACTTGCGCTTTTCACCACAAAGGAACTACTACTACTACTATTACTTTAGCATCGTCATTGTTTTGTTAAAGTACACAACTCTGGCATTGTAGCTTTGGGGTAATCTTTGAATCACTTTCTACTGATACAAGACACAGTGCTCCTTTGTTTCAAGTCTACAACTATTTACAAAACCAGTAGTATGGATCTACCAGACGTGTTGATTCTGAATATTCATCTCTCTTTTAAGATAAATTATCAAACGTCTTCTTTTCAATTATTGCCAAACTTGCAAAATGTGGACTCTGTCTCCAGATGGTCAAAAAGTTGTGACAGATAGCTTTTTGATCGATGAATCATTGTTTCGCCAAAACCTTCTCAAGCAGAAGTTACCATTTTTATGCAGCTGGAGCTTAAGTATGCAGCTGAAACGAATGCTCTGCAGCCTCCTCATAAGTATGTTCCATGGGTAGTTGTGGATGGAGAACCACTATATGAGGTTAGTTCTACTATTCGCATGGCTTTTGTTGTGATGAACAATAGCTATAGAGAGTGAAATGCACTTCTAAAAAGTTTGATTTCTTTTTCTTTGTTTTTTTTTTTTTTTGGGTGCCACAGGATTATGAAAACTTTATAAGCTATATTTGTAAAGCTTATAAAGGCACTGATATACCCAAAAGTTGCAGCCAAGTATTATTTGATGCTAATCAAATGATGGATACGAAGTCTAAGCATTCAGTTTGTGATGAGGAATCAGTGATGCCTAACTTATGGGAACTACTAAGGTCTACCGTTACATCATGGATGACTCGGATGAACATGCCAGGAGCAGCATAGATTGGCCAATCTATTAGCCAAATTAGTTTTTAAGCCAGTTTTAACTAATCTGGTACACGTGTCAAGTAAGAGCAAGTGGGGGTCTTATACTGAGCTCTATATGATATAACTCTGAAGTCATTACAATAACAAGATTGGATTAGGGAGCTATCATTTCTCTCTAACCCCATTCTCTAGCACAATCCTGTTTGATTTCTAAGTGGTTTGCTGTAGTAGAACTTGTGATGGGTTAGTACTCGATCTTCAAACTATTGTAGTGTCTGTCAATACAACTAGTAAGTGCCATCTCAGAGTGGAAGTGGAAGACTAAAGATGATGCAGACTACATGATCAAAGCAGAACACGGCCAAGAGATTTGACTATATATCATGTTGTTTATGTTGGAAAAATGTCTACTGGTTTGGCTTGTTGGGAGTCAATTCATTCGAAGTCCCCAGCGCCATCCTAGTGAGGAAATCTCCACTCCTTTTAAAAAAAAAAAAAAAAAACAATCAATCTCTGCCTCGAACTACTTGATTTATTTATCTACGGACACGAGTGTTGGCAGAAAAAAAGGAATGTTCAGAATCAGCTTTTACACCGAAAATTTACCCTACTATTTCCTTCAAAACAATTTACTAATATTTGCCGAACCCGAAGTTATTTCTCCAAGATAAAAGATGATTTAGTGAAGGACTTCTGAAGGAGGAGAAATTATTGCAAGAGATGTGAAATTTCAATCTTTACAGTATTCAATTGAATTTTAAAATAGTTTACCTTCCTTCTTCTGAATTTTCTTAAAACAAATTCGAAATTGAATTAAAAATAAGAAGAAGAAAAATTCCTTTTTTGATACATCCGGATACCGTGCTTTTGCATTTTTCTCTCCTGATAATTTGAATAACTCATCTCACTATTCATCTAGAGACCATCCTTTTACGTTTTACATTTTTCTTCCGTATGTATTATCTTTGCTTTTCTTGGAGTATCACAGTTTTGTTTTTGCTATAAAGGAGTTTCAATTTTCAAGTGGAGCGTAGGATGTACATGGAGAAGGGCCGAGTGGTATGGATAACGATGAATTTGTAAGGGCAAGTAATTATGGGCCAGATCAATTTCTTCTAGTCAAACCATGGGCCAAAGATGGGCTGAAACAGAACACTTATTGAGCCGAGTCGGGCTCCATATTCATCTTGTGCCAGTGAGGCGTCTGAATGGACGACGGAGATTTCCGCCATCACAGCACGGACACACTCTCCGGAAGCCGGCATTTCCCATCCACTTTGATTGAGCAGAAAATCAGTGGGAGATGCGCCCAAGAGTCGTATCGGATATTTCTCTCCTCAATTCAGTGTGCAGTCGTTTGAACAGAAACCTATTATTTTCGTCGGAGAGGAGGCTTAACTATGGAGACGACCCAGATGACCCTTCGTACTGCGACGTGCCCAAGCCTTGCAGGAGAAAGTCAGAGAGAAAGCCATATGTGACGCCCATGAAAGTTTTGATTCGAAGGGCCAGAGCGGAGAGAGAAGCTCGAAAGGTGCAGCCTTGCCGGATGCTCGAAGAACCCCCTGACAATGGTTTGTTGGTTCCTGAACTCGTCGAAGTCGCTCGTCAAGTCTATCAAGCTCGTCAGTCTCTTCTTTGTGGTTTGTCGGAGCTTGTGAAAATAATTCGCGTCCAACGCTGCAGGTAGCTAATTCGTTCCCTTGTCATACCAGCAAATGGTCAACATAAGCTCACTATGGATGATTGCTTGTTTGATGTTGAAGTACTGCAAATGGTGCATATCAAGACACAGCAATTGTCATATTAGCAAGTAGGCATATGGATTTTCGTTGCATATGCAGGAAGACATTATCAGCATTTCTCGATGTTGTGACCGGTAGCCAACATGTTTAAGCTTTCGGTGAATAGCATTTTTCTTTTCATTGTGATTTCCAATTCCAAACATTGATCAAGATTTGACGTTGGTGATTATATGCGCTAGTAATATGAGAGATAAGCATCATTCCATGAAGACTCGGGTTTAAACTTGACCTGAAATCGATGGTATTCATGTCATAGCTTCTATTTGAGATATTTATCACAGAAGCTTGAGCTGGCTTTTTAAAAGGGTAATTGTTAGGCACACACATTTACCATTGACTTCCCATATGCCATTCAGAGTTGTAACTACATAATCTGAAGGAATTCATTTTGATTGACTGAATGTGTTCCTATATAAAACTCATGCCTCTTTGCATCACCATCCGACATGGCCATAGAGATGTGGAAGGTCTGTCCCGCTTCTGGAGCTATGTTACTAGACTATTTACCTCATTTACGGTTCGCTTTAAAATAAATTTATTGTGAAGCATGAATATGGCAAGATATAAAGCTGTGTAGGACCTGATTATTATTATGAGAGATGAAAAGGCTGGGTTTCATTTGATAACTAGAATACATGAAACATGAATAGGCCAACCAAAATCCACCATAATATTGAGTCTTCATTATTTCGTGTTTCTGATCTATTCCTTCAACTTGTGTGAAGTTTTCAAGTGCAAATTTTAACAATTTACATCAGCTTTTGTTTGCGAACTTAACATTTATTTGTTTCCTATTAGAGTCTGTAAAGAGGTTCACATTGGCCAAGTGGGTCACGAGATCCGGACATGTACAGGGCCGAAGAGTGGTTTCCGGAATGCAATGCATGTTTGGGGAAGGGGAGGGGTTCAAGATGTGGTCTTCTTTCCAAAATGCTACCATCTTTTTGATCGTGTTGGTAAACCAAGAGTTGTGCATGACGAAAAGCATGTCATTCCTCGTATTCCCGCCATTGCAGAACTCTGTATACAAGCTGGTCTTGACCTTGAAAAGTATCCCACTAAAAGGAGAACAAAACCTGTGTATTGTATTGAGGGAAGAATAGTAGATTTCGAGAAAGTCATGGATGGGGACGAAAGTGCAAGAAAACTTTCTTGTGAGAATGACAGTTCTTCAGCTGAGTCGCTTAGTATATTGAACAAGCCTGTAGATGATTTGAGGGATTTGATGGAGAAGAAGAATTTTGTGGAGAATGGCAGAAACTGTTTAGAGCAGTTGAGCGATGAAGAAAGGAAAACATTGAGGAATTTAGGCATAAAGACACTGAACTCTTGGTTTGAGATGACATCAGGTGCAAGGAGAATAATGGAGAAGTATACTGTAAATACTTGTGGATATTGTCCTGAGGTCCAGGTGGGTCCTAAGGGACACAAAGTAAGAATATGTAAAGCATCAAAGCATCAGTCTCGAAATGGTTTGCATGCATGGCAAGAAGCCACTATAGATGATCTTGTAGGTCCAAATTATGTATGGCATGTTCAGGATCTTAATGGCCCTGCTTTGAACAATGATTTGAAGAGGTATTATGGCAAGGCTCCAGCTGTGGTGGAACTATGTGTGCATGCTGGAGCTCCGATTCCTGATGAATATAGGAGTATGATGAGATTAGATGTGGTTCCCCCAGATCGAGATGAGGCTGACCTTGTTACTTGAAATGCTTTGCATTTCCCAGATGTATTATATGTTGACTATGCTTGGAGTTCATCAGACCATATCGCAAAAAGCTTGACCTTGAGTCTGAACAGACCTGAACCCAGGTAGCTTGAAATCACTGTTTTCATATATTCTCAAGAAGAATACCAGCTTATGCTGTGTTCGGAAAGTATTTGCAGCTTGAAGAAGAATGAAAGAAATTGCATTATTGTAATTTCGAATTGTCAGTGGATATTATTAGTGTGACGGACTACATATCAAACAGTCCAATATGTATAATGGATGGCTCTATTCGGGTCCAAAGTAGCCCTGCGTCCTCAATTCATGCTTGGAATCCATAAAATCGAAAGCAGTGCTATTTGCTGAGTGGCTGCTCTAAAAGGTTACCCGGTTTGTTTATCAATCAAACCACTCCATGTGCTGGGTCAAATGTCAAAGATAGTATCAGAGAAACTGCTGATTATTAGTCTGAAAAATTCTCATGTCCTACAGGTGGTTGGAATTGAGCAAAATCAACTTAAAAATAAAAATAAAGCGTAAGTTAAAAAATATTCTTTTGGTCCTATTTATATAATAGAAAGGGAGAACGTTTTTAGTCTTATTTATAAGACACTGAGAGAAATGTTTTGTATAGATATACAATTTTACTAATCATTTATTATTATATTAATTTTGTTTACATGAAGTATAATGTACTCCTCCGGTTCTTAATAAATGACCTATTTAACTCATTTGATTAAATTAAAAAAATTAAGTAAGTTAGTTAATTATAAGAAATATGATATATTTTTCTTAAAACACCATAATCATCTTTCTTAATATCCTCCTTCCCTCCTTCACTTGATTACGGTTGAAAAAGTATTTTTAGAAAAAAAAATTAGAAAAAATTGATAAATATGAAAAATAAATCTTATATTTAGAGTCAAAGTCAACTCAATAATTAAGTCTTATATCAAGGATCGGAGGAGTATATTAAATAAGAATAAAATTAGAAAGTTATTAAATTTTAAGTAAAAGTTAATAAAATTTAAGATTTTTTTTAATTTGTATGAAACATGTTGAAAAAGACTTAAAAATAAAACGAGAAGAGCAGAATTTTAATTGAATTTTTTTTTTTTTCAAAAGGACTTTGTTGGAAGTCTAGAACGATCTTTTGATGCTGACATATTAATTACGAGACTTTGATATCAAGCTCGCTGTAGTAAAACAAACCCTTTCGGCAACAGTGATTAAATTTCAGCATATTAATGTGACCCACACCAAACGCGTCGATATGTCCGAGTGGTTAAGGAGACAGACTCGAAATCTGTTGGGCTTTGCCTGCGCAGGTTCGAATCCTGCTGTCGACGCTCGTGCCTTTTATGATTCCCACCAAAAGCTCCCCTAAACACGGGCACCCCTTATCATTAAGTCATCAGCGCCCAGTCCCTTATTTATCTATTAAAAAAACATTGTTTGTAAAACTTTTGTTACTTGTATTATTTCAATTTCAATTTCGTTTTTATTTGGAAATAAAAACATAGAAAATAACGTACTATCTCTGTTACCTAATATAAGAGTTTATTTAATTTTTCTTTTGATCCTAAATATAATATCACCATTCACTTTGTCTGTCATATTTATTAATTTTTTTCAAAATAGTCATTATAATAATAGTAGTTGTAACTAATATACTTGATTAGTAAGGATATTTAAAAAAATAACACCTATTTATTACAGATAACTAATTTAACTAATTTTCTTAATCTACTCAAATTATTCAATTAGCTCTTATATTAAGGACCAAAGGTAATATAAGAGTTAGTTGACCAATTTGAGTAAATTAAAAAAAAATTAAATTAGTTGTTTGTAATAAATAAATAATTTCTTTTCTAAAATATCCTATATATATTACCTAGAACTATTATTTGATAGAACATTTAACATATGTAAACTATTAGAAGAGCTATTTAAAAAATAAATATAAAAGATAAAATAAATTATGATCTTATATTCAGGATAAAATTAAAAGTCAAACTAGTTTTAATATTAAAGATAAGAGGTAATATCTTAATAATTCCCATAATTAACAATATACATAAGTTATATGGGTAAATCGTTGATAGAGACATCTAGGGCCCTCAACATTTTAATATTCTGCTTTTCTCTATAAAAACAGCTCACAAGTTTTCTTATACGACAAAAATAATGAATAAATCTTTAATTAATCTTCCCCCACTAACGTCAGCATTTGTCAGATATACAGGGACAATGATTGATATCATATCCTGATATATTATTCTTTATAAAGAAGAGATTATAGCCACCCCATTTAATTATTAAAGAAGAACGTAATTGAAACGCACACACTACGCATCACTACGAGATAGATTCTTTGGCCATTGGCTTCTAGAACTGCACACGATGGTGCATCCATCCTCAATTATTGTGATCACAACTTGGCTCCCCAAGAAATTTGAATTCTTTTTATATTTGTTTTGATCCTCTCACGAAATAATCTCTTTAATTTAATGTTCTCATTTTTCATCACTGCTTTGCAAAACTGTTTTTTTTTTTTTCCTTTTCACATTTTCGTTAGGGTAGTTATGTAATTTTGTCATAGGAAACATATATATAGAATCAAACAAAATAGGGGTGACTTTTAACAATCAAATCAATTATTGGATCTAGGCCATTAGAAGCTCTCCACTGATTAAGCTGTCTCCATATGTACATGCATTTGGAGACCTAACTCTCACATCAAAATGCAATAACCACCCAACCATTTCAAATGCAAATTCCACTCGCAAAAAACATTTGAGTTGAGGGCACATCTTCTTTCTTTTTTTCTTTGATTATGTTAGTTTTTTTTTTCAAAAAACCATGTTGAGTTATGAATTGGGTAAATTATTTGTAATATCAACTTACTTCTTGAAACAAGTTTTTCATACACATCGAAATCTAATTAATTTAATGATAAGAATGTGTTAATATAATTCATTATTGACGTTAATTTTTACCAAATAAGATTAAGATAACTCATAATTAGTAATTAAAATAAGGAGCATCCAACATTAATTGTCCCCATCCGAATCAATTGGCAAATGATTATACCCATGTTTACGAGGAATCGGTGTTCATTATTTTGATAGACACTTTAAACCCATCAGATCTTAACCAGCTAGATTTCACTTAGATGGTCCAGATTTAATCTTTTTTATTTGTTCAATATAATTATCTTAGTAGGTATAGAATATAAAATAAATTAAAGATAATATGTCAACTATTATTTTTTAAAAAATATTTTTTATTTAAAAATAATTAATTTAAAATTTAAAATATGACCATTCAAATGAGATATCAATAGTTAAGATCTAATGAGTTTAGGGTACTTATAAATGTGATCAGCACTGAAACTAGTTCCTATTTACGATCATCCAACCATATGAAGACTACACACCAATTAGAAGTCGATAGTCAAGTTTGGAATCATAAAATAATTGAAAGGTTTGTATGAAGAACTTGACCTGACTTTGTTTACGAAAAAATCATCACAAATTTTACCACAAGTATGTGAAATTAGATTCTCTATGAAATCTACATAAAAGCGTCACAAAAGCAACTATATAAGATCAATACATATCACACTTAAGTGGCCGGGAGAAATGAAGTCTTTCTTTTATATAGCCAAACTCTGAGTTTAAAGCGAATCCCATGTTTTTTCAAGTACAATCTTATATTACATGAGTAATAAGATTCACTGTAAATCTAAGATGATGTATTGACGATGAAAAACATAAGACTGTTTTTATTTATTATAAATATACACGTTAATTTGCCCCTATCCTCTATGGAATTCACATCCAATGAGAAAGGTTAGCCAGCTTGGTGTGGTGCATTTTACCATAAGTACATATGTTTATTGGGAAAATCACGTGCCTCCACACGCACACATATGTGGCTCAAAACACTGTGACACTAGTTACCCTACGTGTTACCTTGTCGACCGTTCATTTCCATGTAAGGGGGCCTGTGAATTTTTAATACGGCATGACATTTATTATATCTATATATGCATATGTATTATTCTGCTTTTATTCATGAGACACTTTCAACATATTTTATACAGATCAAGAAAAACTTTAAAATACATTAACTTTTTATTAAAATATAATAACTTTTCATCTTTATTCCTATTTAATATATACATCTTTCAAAAAATATAACTATCTACAGTATAATAAATGAAAGACGAATTAGTACATTCAGATTAAGACTCTGTTTGGATAGCACCCCAAACCATGGTTTGAGGAAAATGCTACCCCAACAGCCTCTCCAAAAACCAAAACCATGGTTTTGGGTCAAAACCATGGTTTTGACTCCAAAACCATGGTTTTGGAAAAAGCAAAATTTTTTTGCTTTTGGAGAAAAAAGGGAGAGTGTGAGGGCCTATATGATATGTATCTTGTTATTTTTTTTATAAACATATTTTTTATAAATATATTTAATCTTATATTTTATAAATATATATAGACATTAATTATTTATTAATTATATTATCTTATGTATTATTAATTATGTTGGTAAAAAACATATTATTAACAATTTTATTTCTTCAAATTAAAATATATCATAAAATCTATTTTTTCTGTAATTATCATATTAACTTATGTCTTTTTTTTAGTAATTTGTATATATAAAAAGTGCTTCTGATAACAACTATCCAAACACTCTCACTTCTCAGAATCACTTTTTTACAAAATCTATTCTTCACAGAATCTATTTTTTCCAGAATCTATTCTCCAGAATCACTTTTCCAAACCACGGTTTGGTTTCATCCAAACACACCCTAAAACTTTAATGAAGTGACTTATAAATAAGGCAAAAAAAATTTCTTTCTCTGCCTTATAAATAGGACCAGAGGAGTATATATTTATATATAGCTTCCCTCGACATCCATCGACTGCTGAAACCAAAGAAAAAGTTAAGAGAGTCCAGATTGATTGTCCCTGATGCAGGCTCCATTTCCAGAGGGTTATATATATGTATGCACGCAGATAACAAGTTTATATTCCTTTCGAGGCCATACCAGATACTGTTGAAACAATTCAAAAAGGGTCCTTGTCTCGGACAAGAGCAAGAGCAGTAATATTAATAGGTGAAGGAGCGTGGTGGGATCGATATTATTGGTGGGATCAAATTAAAGAGGCAACCCCACCACACACTGTTTGTCCATATTCATATCCTCCGAACTACAAACCGATCCCATCTACCAGAAAACCCCTTCCTCCTCCTCTTAAATGAAGTACGCTTCCTATACGGAATTCCGATTCCAGTGTGCGCGCATCATTTATATTCACATGCATTATATATATATATATATATATGTATTATCTCTCCCAAGCCTATAACATAACTGGGTTGTATATCTTTTAGGTCTCTTTCTGTGTACAGAACATGGCCCACTTTCTGCTCCATGCAGCGCGTAGGTTAATTATTAAACGATCCTTATAAAAAAACCTAGCTGCGCGACGAACCTGTTCACCTGTGTCCGTAGATATAGTGACGATATATTTCATATCATCTTGTAATTTTACTGGGTTCTTCCCCCCCTTCTCTCTCTAGGCGCGGAAAATATTGATTACTTCCTCACGGTTACGTCGAAGAAGACCGATAGTCCACACCCCACTGTGTGAAATGCGTTCAGGTCAAAACTAGCGGAAGTTGAAAGCCCTAGGCGCCGCGCTCAAAATAAGAGGCAAGATTGAGGCACCCATGATCAGTATTAGTTTACTAACACACTGTGCTGCGATGCAGTGATTGGTTCGCATCGGTTCCATGTTATATTAGTTAGAAGCTATGAGGAGTTTGATAGATATATGAATCCGAGATTTGGGAGGATTTATGAATTTTTCAGCTCTGTAAAATGTTGTTCATAAATTCATATGCTGAGTTTTACCAACGTCGTAACTCGCGTCATTGATATTGACACATGAGCAAGAACGCGTTTTGTGAGATAAAACATCATGGCCCTATTATGGACTGTTCTGTCAAAGTGAGGGACCAAAAGCAATCAATAAATTTGCAGAATATGAAGACCAAAGGCAAGCTAATTAGGGTTTTGATTTGGGGCCCCTCACTTCGACCTCAAAGTCCACAGGACATGCACGCTCTACCTGATGCTTGCCCAATAACATAGGCTTTAATGTTTGATTGAGAGCGTTTAAGGTTTTAATATGGATCAGCCGCGACAAATATATACCCTTCTCAAATTCATGTTGACCTTGTTTAATTTGGAGAGAGAACTTGTTTTACAGTTATGAAAAGGTTGGAGGATGACAGAAGAAAGGATCGATAAATTTAAATATTCTTGAGAAACAGGGGCCACCGCTCGTAATAAAGAAAAAACAAAGGAAAGTGAGAAATAAAGTGCCCCATACGAAATTATGTGGTTCCACAAAAGGCCAGAAAGCGAAAGTTCTCGCTATATGGAAATATTCATTATATATAGTCAGAGAGAAGAGCGTAGGAAGAAAAAATAATGCCAGAAAAAGAAGAACCAAACAAAAAAGCAATCCAGGAAATAATTTCAATACATTACGGTCCATCATTATGAGTAGATGATGATGATTCATGATTTTAGTGGACGGTCCAAAAATCCGATTCAATTTAAAATTCAGAAATGTGGATTTTTTCTGCAGTGGCTGGTGGGTCTATGCTATAATAACAACACAACATAATCAATCGTAGCTAGGATTTATAATAATAAAAATAGACAAAATAAATAATAATTTATATAAAATGCAAGTGAGGAATGGTTGGCTGGCTGTCGCTTTCATGCTTAGGCGGGGGTTTCCCATATAAAAATAAATGAATAAATAAGAGCAGCAATCACAAGAGGATCAGTTTTTATTTTCATTGATGCTTTGTAGACTCTATTTTTTTCTAGGGGTGTTATTATCACAGAAAGAAATGTCAATTATAGGTATCTTAGAACAGAGAAAAAGGCAAGGTAAGGAAGGAACAAAACAAGAAGGTGATGAAAGAGTTAAAATCCCAAAAACACCAACAAAATAAAGCCAAAATCTTAATGCCCAAGCCAACGATATAATGCCAACAAAATGCTTCGACCCGAATTGTAAAGAGAAGCCACCTGAAACAGGAGCTGAAGAATGTGTAAAAATGATACAAGCGCACGTGTACGTCAATACAACAGATAGATTGAGGCCAGCAGATCGATCTACACAGAGAACCTCCCTGGGGTCCAGATGAACAGTTTCCTGGAGTAGTACTGGTCTTATGAATTACTAAACTAGGCCATTATTGGACCCTATTTGACCCATATTCTCAATGTCTTTGCCTTAATTTCTTGCTTAAGCTAGTAGCAAAATCAAACGAGAAAATGATTTTCAATTATGGGGGTAGAGGGAGCAATTAAGGGCTATTATATACCCAATTAATTACTTCCATTTAGCCAAGGGAGGAATTGAGAGAGGATGGATAGCTGAGGCTATCATATAGCGATTTTTAAGTTTCAGTGTTCAAAGCCTTAACTTTCACCGGATTGATTATGCAAGTGCCCAGTTGTGATTGGATCAGCGTTCTCACCACCAGGTCAAGACAAAAAAACCAAACGTCATAATGAAAGCAAATGAATGATGTGCTTGCAAGTTTCCTCGGTGGCATAGTATACCTAGTGAGAATGTAGTTCTCACGCCCTGAACAGTAATCCCAAATCAAACAGAGAGAGACGAAGCATGAGTTCAGCCAGAAAATGAAAGGCTTTTGGAGCTATCTATATACTTTCGCGTTTCACGGTTACACAAGTATGAGTTAAGGTTGATATATAGGAAAAGAGGAGCAAAGTTAACCAGAGCTTTGTAGGTTCAGTTCATCGAGCTCTTTCGATCTACACGCAATTGAACAAAGGAAAAAGAACAAACAGTTGGTGATTGACCTAGCTAGCTGGTAACCAACAAGAGTGCTATACATTTATGGATATGCAGTTATGCATATATATATATATATATATATATATAGTTCCAATAGGTTAATTTTGACCGGGGGGGTCGATTCCGTCAGTCTGAGAAGATCGCCAAGAGTATGTGACTTATATAAGGCCGTAATCACAATTAATTTTCTTGAAACCAAAAATAGATCGTAGTGGGAAAAGGTAGAAGAAAAAAGTTATCAAAATGATTGAATTAAAATACTATACTGTCGTAGTAGTAACAGTAGCACTACCTGTACCTGTTCCTGAGGCAGCAGCAACACATCCACCTCCGCTAACAGTGGCGTCAACACCGTCAGCACCACCGCTTGCGGCACTAGCAGCAGTGCCATCTTTACTCTCGCCGTCGCCGCCACTGCCAGTATTCCCTGCGGACGTGTTGACATCCACCTTAGTTGCGGTAACCGTAGGCCTTTTTCGCTTCTTCTTCTCATAAGGAATCCCTCTGGCCTTGGCTTGCCCTTCCCTGACTTCTCTCAGGTAAATTCTCACGGCTTTCGCCCCGAACGGGTTCGACTCCGGCCGTCCACCGTTCTCCTCGTAGGCCGCTCTCAGTCGTCCGATCAGGGCGTCGAGGCTCCCCCACGCCTGCTTCAGCGGGCACGCGCAAGGTGCTGGGGGGTTCGGGTGGCCAAAATAGGGGCACCCAGCTATGTGGACCTTGGTCTTTCCGAATTGGTCTAAGTACTTCAAGAACTCGATCACATGAGCTCCACTACAGCGCGCCAACGTCAATGGCGGCTTGTGGTTCCTCAGGTACTGCAAGAAGGTGTTCCAGTCCCGTCGCTTCTGCGACTCGTAGCGACTCGGTGGCGCGGGCGATGATGAGCCCTCGGCTTGAGGGGCAGCGGTGGTGGTACTCCCCGACGGATCCTCCGTGCTGTTAGGATCGGATGCACCGGGGCCGGAACCTCCTGATGCTGATTCCATGATGAGATCAACGAATTTTTCGGTGGAGCTAGTTGGCAGTTGGCAGTTGAATGTTGAAGATATATAAGAAGGGAGGGGTTTTTGTTTTAGGTTTAGGTTTAAGGAAGAGAGGACGAAGAAGAAGAGGAAGTAGAGAAGGGGAAAATTGAAAAGGGAAGGCTCTGGTGATGGGACGTAAAAAGCATAAGATGAATGAATGAAAGAGACACGCTCTGATGCAAAGCTCAGCTCAGATTAACGAGAGAGAGAGAGAGAGGGAGAGAGAGGTGTTGAATGGTGTTACTGTATATGCAATTTCACATGGTGGTGGGCCCTTGGGGACGCGACGCCTTCACTGTTCATTACTGGCTTCCCTCCACTCTCTATCACCCTCGTGCTTCTCACTCGCCCCAAAACTTCATTGCATGCTACAAAGTACAATATAATTCAAATAAATTCTCGATGTATTTTTTCTCTACATACAATCTCAATTATATTCTTAATATATAATTTTCAAAAATAATGAAATTAAAAATACTTGTTTATGGGGGTGACAATGAAATAGGTAAATTCGTTGGCAAAAAAAAAAGAGAGGCGAAGTCCAGGTGAAAATATTCTGAGGAAGTCATGCTCCTTTTTAATTAATTATTTAGCTTCGTAGATATGAATGCATGGTTGAAAGATTTATCGCCCCTTTTTCTTCGGGTTATTATTTTTTAATCCTTAACTATTGCTGGTTTTACAAAATTTTCATTTTACGAAAATCTTTTCGTAGTAGATTGAGACGAAAATTTAATACTCCTCCGGTCCTTATTATAAGACCCCATTTGACTTTTTATTTGGTCCTAATTATAAGACCCCAATCTATTTTATCTCTTATATTTATGCATTTTTTTCCAAGATAATCCCTCTAATAATGATAGTTTTAGCTAATATACTTAATTAGCAAGGATATTTTAGGAATGATAATATTTATTTATTATAAATAACCAACTTAACTTACTTCCTTAATTTCCTCAAATAAGTCAATTGGGTCTTATAATTAGGACCGGAGGAGTATTATTATTCATATAATAAAGAAAGAAGAACTTTAAAGGACATCAAAAGTCAAATATAACATATAATTGAGGCGAAAGAAATAATATTTTTTTGTCTGTCCTTGGATTCTTCCCCTCGTTATTTTGGCAGAATGTAATGGTCAAATCTTGTTTACCCCTCGTTTGATTTTGCCTTGTGATGACTTACATCCTGTTTTAATTATAAGATTTTATTTATAAATTATAAATAAAATTTTATAATTAGAATTAAAAATAGTATAATTAATGAGACTGAAAAATTAATTATCTTTTAATTTTATATTTTATTCGACAAAATTATAAAAATTAGAACATCTACTTTGGTGCATATCAAGATATTAATTGTATATCTGCAGTGTGCAACATGCGGTAAAGACATACTTGTATTTATGGGCATGTAATACTATATCGGTACTTAATATAAAATTCAATTGATTAATTTAAAGATATTAAAAAACTGAATAATGACTTAATTATAATATGTATTTTATGATCTTTTTAAAATACTTATACGTATCATTAGATTATACTACCTCCGGTCTTTAATATAAGACCATATTTTACTTTTATTTTGGTCCTAAATATAAGACCACAATCCACTTTGTCTCTCATATTTATACATTTTTTTCAAAATAGTCCTTCTAACAATGATAGTTCTAGTCAATATACTTGATTAGTAAGGATATTTTAGAAAAGACGACACCTATTTAGGACAAATAACTAACTCAACTTACTTTCTTAATCTTCTCAAATTAGTTAACTGGCTCTTATAATTGGGACCGGAGGTAGTATATCAATTTATAAATAGGCAAATTAATTTTTAAAAATGATAAATATAAATATTTAAAATAATTTATTTAGCTTTCTTAATCTTGATCTTGTATTAATGACAAGAGGTATTAATATTTTAAATATTGATATTAATTAAATGTTCAACTTGACGCGTGATTTCACATATAATAAATCCAAATTCAAATAACACAGTGAAAGAATACATAAAAATAAGAATATTTTAAAAAAAATTAAAGGAATTGAAGCTGGTAGCAGACGAATAAAGAAAGATCAATAAGAATGTTTGCATTTTTTCCCTTATTATTTGATTCTTTCCAGCAAATGGACAGAACATGATCTGTAAATCTAAACTCGTGAGCAAGAGAAATTAACATATATTAACAGACTGTTTGGATGACTCTCAAAACTATAGTTTGGGAGGTAAAACTATAGTTTGGGTGGAATGTCACCTAAACATCATTAATTTTGATGGCATAATCTGAAACCATGATTTGGGTCGAAATCATGATTTTGGAACCCAAAACCATAGTTTCAGGAGAAGTGAATCCATTATGTTTCTGGCTCAAATTAGAGAGTATCATTGTGCTTGTCAGAATAGATCTCAATAATAATGACTTTAACATCCATCAATTAATTTTTTATAAACATATTAATCTTATATCTTATAAATATATATACACATATTAATTATTTATTAATTATATTATCTTATGTATTATTAATTATGTTAGTAAAAAATATATCATTAACAATTTTATTTTTTCAAATTAAAATATATCATAAAATTTATCTTTTATGTAATTATCATAATAAGTTAACTTATGTCTTTTTTAGTAATTTATATATATAAAAAATGTTTCTGATAACAACTATCTAAACACTCTCACTTCTCAGAATCACTTTTTCAGAAAATCTATTCTTAACAAAATTTATTTTCCCCAAAATCTATTATCCAGAAGCTATTTTTCAAACTATAGTTTGATTTCATCCAAACACCCCTTAAGCAAAATACACAACACACTAAAATAATTCAAAACGCATAATGTTAAATAATAATTAAATTTTAAATTTTAATTTTTAATATAGTGTGTTGTACTATATATACGTAATCTCTTATTGAATATGAAAAGACGTTGGAAATAAAAAGCCATCTATGTTTGTGTACTTTATTTATTATGTGTTCGGCAATCAAATGATGAAAGGAAGAATTTTTTACAGGAAACCTATTTTCATATTTCGTTCTGGCATTGCCCTATCTCTCTTTTTTTTTTTCTTAAATTAATAATAATGATGATGATAAAGGCCCCACCCTAATATTTTCAATATTATCTCCTCACATATCCATTCTGATAATATAATGTATATATTCAACACTTTAATTAACACACACCCACACTATTTAAATTACAGACGTCTTTCCCCGCAGATTCTTTGTAAATATTGTATAATTTGTGATATAATTTATATTTTATAAGAAAAATTAATTTCATTTGGATTTATCTCAGCTTTCTTCGTGGACATAGTATTATTTAAATTTTTCTTACACATGATCAAAATATACTAGCCAAACAACCAAAATTCAAGGGCGATTGAGCTACTAATAATGGTTATTAATTCCAAGTTGAACCACCTGTGCACTGTCACGGGTTTAAAATCTTGAAAAAGATTCTCTGGAATCATTATCTTATGATCTCATTAATTTTCAACTAAATCATCGTAGAAAACAGATAGCTGGAATACACTTTCGAGCACTCATCGATCATCATTCACCAAACAAAAATACCAACAAAGTTAGTCAATATAATTATAAAATGTTAGCCACAAAATAATCAAGTGGAAAAAAATATATATGAATGATATTTTACTCTTTATCTCGCCATAGATAACAATTATTTCTTGAGCAAGAATATTATACTGCCTAGTAATTAATCAAAGAAATCGGTCAATCCAGATCATTTTTATTCAGTTTTAATTTAGCCATGTTAAATGTATTAATGTTGGCCTCATGCATTGTAAATAAATTTATTGTCTTTGCCATGAATAGTGTTACTTATTGAAGCTTTTGTATTACATATAAATAGTAAATTTACATTTTTCTCCTTTTATTATTTTTTCCAATTACAATTTTTTTAAAAAAAAAACCCACGAATTAAAAATCACTCCTTCTACTTTTGCCCTGTTAATTGAAATGAGGAAGCATGCAAAAATAATACGACAAAACTGTAGTAGTATATCACTGAGGCAAAAAAAGAATGAAAGGTGAAAAACAAAACAGGTAATTATGTGATCAATTTAATAAGCAGTGATTGGTTGTACCAATCCAATTAGGGGAACCCTAAATACCCTCCTCACATCATCGTCCGCGTCACACCCACTTCCTTCCTTGCCATCTATATATGCCTCAGCTTTCTATCAATGGAGATACCCTGAGTCTCCCTCAAAATTGATGTCTACTGTTGTTTTTATAATCATATCACGCGCATATACATTATGCTGGTGGGCACGAGTGACTAATGAGTGAATTGAACATTATTTAGATCTCGTCGGAAATATAAAATTTATTTTGTAGTATAATTTATGTTATAAAATAAGTTTTACAAAGTATTTAATTCTTCTCTCAAACACACCTTTTATCCAGTTAGTGAGTGAAGTTATAAACTGACTTGAGGGACTAACTATATATGTGTCTGCTTGCTATCAAGATAAGGCCCATTCGTCCCTTGCTTTATTGTTCCTTTCCGCTTATAATTACCTCATAAATAATTATCATCTGTTTTGGGGCTTGGATTTGGTCTGAGCTTATTTACGAAAGATATATATCATCAATCAATCGATATCCCAATTGGATTGGCTTTTACTTTTGATTAGGAACATGGCATGGCCATGGAACATATTGTACGTACGATTCATTAAAACAGCAGTCACCCCTTGTGACTTTATAGTACAAACATTACTCGAGTATTTTTTTCTGTTGTCTATGTTATGTACCTATGAAAAAGAACACGAACGTACGTGTCCTGATGAACTCATGATAATAATTAATTGGGAAAATTACACTCAGGTCCCACAGAGCATAATTAATATCAAAAAGGTCCCTCGAAATCGCAAAATGATTCTGAAGTCCCCAGGGACCTGTGTGTAATTAATTCTAATTGTGAAATTATGTAGTTACCCCTGTTAATTTGAATCTATTTACAACCTCAACAGTGACTGTTAACAACCCGAGAAGAGGTGGTTAACAACCTCAACAACGCCCCTGGTATTTCACAGAGTGAGTTGTCATGAGCACTGCCGAGGTTGTCAATCACGTCTTCTCGGGTTGTTAACAGCCACTATTGAGATTGTAAACGAATTGCTGCAATAAAAT